GATTGTTTAGGCGTACCATTAATAATGTATATATTATCCTCCCAACTGGTAATGCGTCCTTACCAGTAGAGATTAAAACTGGTTGCGGTTCAATCTAAGCTGTTAATATCGCGGTTTTACTAAATTATTACCAAGCCAACCCCTATACCTGAGCATCCGCATTCCCGCTTGCATGTTTAAATTTGTCATGGCTTTGATGTAAGCTGAGGCTTAGGGAGTAATTCGGAAAAATCAAGCATTACTACTCTGGACAAAAAAGTAAATTGGTTTCGGTCCATAAATGCATATGTCTGCTTTTACCAACAGTTGTTGTTCAGCAATGGAGACGTGCAGTGGACTTACTTCTCGTTTAACTTGTTGACTGCCAAGTTATAGTATGACGCATTTATACAGACTAACGATACTGTACAGACGATGTAACAGCGTTGTATACAGAGATCAAAGGGTCTCTATCGGACGTTATCTTCAGACTACAGTCTACTTGCGGCCGGAATTTCAACAGATCCCTCGGAGGGCATCTCGACTTACTCTTGAAGCTGCCGAAGCAGGCTCATGTGTGAAGCCGTTCATTATTTCCATTAATCGTACGTACGGCAAAAGTGCAGTGACATAGTGGATATTTATTCAGTCCTACATGCCATTGTTGTCATTATGAATCGAAACGCCATGCACATTTGTTTATTAACTGATAAAAAATGTAATTAATGAAAAATTTCATCCCATCATGCTTCTTGTAACTTTCCAAGAACTGTAGCAGCTCGTCCACATGTTATTAATAGGAATGGCATTGTGTTCTGTTGTGACCGTGCCAGTTCTAGCGAGACTTGATGCCAGAGTGCTTGCTGGCTCGCACTGCGCAACTGTAATGAGCCTGCACAGCAGCTTGCTTGCTAACTTGAAGAACACAAATTGCATACCATTAAAAACGCAAATCAAATTGGGGTGCAAAAATTAAATTTGCGGATGCTAATCTCTGTGACGTAAATTGTCGCGGAATGTTAATTTCGGTTTACTGTCTTCCAGCAATTCTTTGTTATGACTAAATTAAACTTCATAAATATTCACCTCCACCAACTTTACGCTGATGCTTTGTGATCCGTTGTGCGGTTAATTAACATTTTTATTGCGAAGAGTTTTTGAGATTGCTATTTTTTTAATTCTTGAAACTACACCAAACACTCATGTGAGAACTTTTGCCTTGAACCTCTGGATCTTGTGACGTGTTGTAGCGATTTCTCTCGATGTTGCTTCTCTCCTTTTGTATCACTCGATTCTACGGTGTCGATGTTGCTTCTCCCCTTTTGTATGACTCGATTCTGCGGTGTCGATTTTCTGTCTTACGGTCTGCAGCTGTGATGGGTAAAGCAAAACAATTTTTGACTTCATCTGTGAAACGTATTTTTAGTATGTTTTGTATGGTACTTCGAATCTAAATGGACTGAATGAACATGCGTTAATGTACGTGATGCGACACATGACAGATAAGGCATCAGTTAACTAGAACCTGAATCATGTTTCGTGCAGGCTCAATCCTACAATTATTGTTTATAAGCATATTTTTTACTATGACTCTGTTATACGAGGCGGTGAGAAAATATATTTGGTCTTTGGCGTATTATATTTGATACATATCCTCTGATATTTTTTTAACAGTTCCGCCAAAATGGTATGTTTTGCAATACTGTCTGACTGTAGATAAATCTTAAAATTCAACTTCTGGTTGCTCTTTGCAGATCTTATTGCA